AGGAATACGTTTATTTGCAATGAAGACGCTATGAATGAACGGCGTTTAGCGACGGCAAGTTATGAGCGTTCGGGAATTTATAAGTTGACATGATTGCTAACTATGGACATGCGGACAATGAAGACCAGTTTTGTCGGGAGATGGTGTTGCGGTGATGACCTGATTTCGGACGACTCATGGCAGACGAACAAGCAAGTTTCTTCTCAGCGAATGGTAAGTGTCCAGTGTCAAGCACAACACGTGGCTACCGACGTTGTCGACGTTTCGAACACTTACCGCTTTGGACAAAAGTCCTGGCACCTGGGCTAACTTTGTGGAAAGACTCGAAGTCTTCCTTGAGTCCAACGCCATCATGAACAGTAACTGAAAACGATCCACTATTCAGTCGGTGGGTGGCGAAACGTATCCACATCTGCAGAGTCATGGGCGATGCGTACTCAAAGTGGCTGGAAGTTTACACGATGCCTGCCACGACGTCCAAACACGTCATTGACGTTCTACGGTCTCTTTTACCTGCTTTTGCCCTACCGAAAATACTTTTCTCTGATAACGCGCCCAATCTTGCTTCAAATAAAATAAACAAGTTTTTGAAGAAAAAAAAAAACCGGCTTCAGGCATCACATTAGTGCACCATACCATCCTGCAACTAACGCGCAAGCAGAGCAGATGGTGTGCGAAACGAAAAAAATCCCTTTTGAAGCTTACGGAAGAAGCAGTTCAGTGAAGAATCGCCAGGTTCTTGTTCCGGCAGCACGCGTCGGTCTCATCTTACACGGAAAAAAACCCACCGAAGCAATATTCGGCGGACGAAGAGCACACCCTCGATCTCATGATACTATGGCTTACGAACAAAGATCGAGAGATTCCCACATCGGGAGTAATGGCAGTCTATTTGGTCGGACAACTCGTCTACGTGAGGAATTTCAGCGGAAGTCGGGCCTTCCATGTAAAACTTGAGTAGAAAAGGCTCTATGTTAGTTGACCAGGAGGTGTCATCTCTCGGAATACGTTGGATATCAATGCCCTTAAGTGTAAATATAACTAAATCACAAAACTGTCTTTGTGTATTGTGTAACTGCCCTTGTATTTGATAGTAGAAGCTACGGTGGTGATTGGCACCTTTCACACCAGGCTCCTTTTTCTTATTTTTCGCCTCATACTCCTTTGCGGTTTAAGTATGCTTCAAGAATCTTTTGGAACGGGGACACTTTCCGTCAACGAGGCCATTTGTTCCAAGTAGTCAATCAGAGAATGCTGCTAGAAATCCGTCCCTCATATTAACGAATAAGCCGCACTTCTGCACAGTGCAGTTTTCCTGTTCCACGTACAGTTGTAAAGCAGCATCCTCATTGATTCTACCATATACTGTTGCGGGTGAAGAAAGTCTTTGGGTACACGATACTTGAAAGAAGTCTGGCACTGTACGTTGTGTTTCGACACCCACTAATGTCGTCGTCCTTATAGAGCCTCATCATTTAATCATTACCTCGTCACCTCATATTGCTCTTGATCAACAGTAAATACAATAGGCTACCGCCATATTACAATAAAAAAATATAAAATTTAGTCGTTCAGTCCTTCAACAAGTTTATTATTTATATAATGTTATTACGTTACATTACCTCGCGACGATCGACGTCCATCGTCGATCTTCAAATACTTATACCTGTATATAAATTACACGCACAAGGGGGGGTTGGTGGCCGAGTGCATGTAAAGTCCCTCGATATGTTTTCGTTTGTCTTTTTTAAGTGCATGGTCTAGCGCACACCAGCTCGGAGCACTTGGAGCGAAAGCTCGCGCTGCAGAACCCACCCCGGCCCTGCCCGTTTCAATCTGGAAGAGCATCGTACCGGCGTGCGGTCGTGTATCACTCCTGCGTGGTGCACGTTAAAGACCCCAGGTTTGCGGTTGTACCGCACTGGCTAAATTGCTCATCTACAGCTGAGACACCAGACGCCCACTAACGCAGACTAACTTCCGGCTGAATAAACATACACACAACAATTTGCAATTAAACGCATAATAACAAAGAACACAGCGTGCCGCCTCTTTTCTTTGGATGCCTTTTCTTTTTTAAACCAGCGCAAGCTCGTGCGTTCTCTCTTTTGAGACGGTTAGAACGGTCGCGTATAAAACCCGCGTTTCTCCTATCCGGCCGCTTCCTCCTCTCATTATGTGTAGTTGGTTATAACTAAATAAGCTATAATAATGGTGTATTATATATTCATATTTACTTTCAGTTTTGGTCAGGGAAAAGGAGTTTCGCGGGAACTAGAGCCAATAAATGAGCTGCGCTTAGAGTATCGGCACTCTCTTCCCCGACAGTGTTGTGAACGCCGCCATTTTGGTGCTTGTGCTGAGCAGGCGCAACTGCCGATCGTCATGATTCAAAAGTGCGACATTCTCAGCATTAGATTCGGTGTTAGGAAGCTCATGTAATGTTGCTTTGCTTTGTCGCAAACTGTTTAAAGTGGAGGACGGAAAAGCGTTTCTTGTGATTTCAGATAAAGCTTCAAATAACAGGCAAGCATGATAATAAGCCACACTAAGGCCAAGCGTCGCTACTCTAAAGCGTAGCTTATTTAATGACACTATTCATGCTCTTGTTCAAGAGGCTTGTAATACCTAGGGTGCCTCAATAGAGAGTTTTAGTAGATCGTTCCGATACCTCCGATAGCCCCGATAACGATACTATGCATGCACAAGAGAGGCGGTGGCGGAGTATCGGGTATCGTTATCGGAGTCATGGGAACGATCTACTAAAACTCTCTATTGTCCTTCTGTTTAGGGTGATGCCAGCCTTTGTAGCACCCGATGCCGACAGCACGCGCTCACGGAGAAAATACAAAGAAATCGACGAAAACAAAATGTCGCCATAGCACAATCAGTGCCACGAGCGCGTGCAGGGACACGTTCTTTCACGCGCTTCTGAACAAAAAAAAAAAAAATAAAAGTGTGGGACAAAATGGTCAGGTGTCGTGCTCCACCCTAAGCAAAGCGCACATGAAGGCACCCTATAGTAATACCTGAAGGGGACATGACGTAAGCCCCGTGGATTCCACAAGCCACTATCTTTTGACACCTGCCTCTTCTTCATTGTTCCCGCTTGTGCCAGTAAATTAGCTACGGTTCAGAGTAGCGACACTTGGCCATATTGTGGCTTAAAATCATGGTTGCCAGTTATATGAAGCTTTATCTAAAATCACAGGAAACGCTTTTCCGTCCCTCACAAATGTTTAAACAACCCGCGATAGAGCATTGCAATATTGCATCAGCTTCCTGGCACCGCATCTAATGCTGAGGAAGTCGTACTTTTGGATCATGATGATCGGCAGTTGCGTTTGCTCTGAGCAAGACCCAAAATGGCGGCGCCCAAAACAATTTTGGGGAACGGAGTGCCGATACTTTAAAGCTCATTTAGTGACTCTAGGCATAAAGTAAACTCGGGTGTATTCTTTTCCTCTTCGTCTTCATTCTTAATTGATTTCAATCATATCGAATAATGGACACATTATATCACGCTACCTTTGTGTAATTATTTGTCTTAGATTTATTAGCCTGACCCAGTACTTAAATCATTCAGTTATCGATAGTAAATGTTCCAATATATTTTTTAAATGTGAGGCTAAAAAGACACGGAGATTGATGATGATACAGACGCCAACGCCGCCCTCGGAAATTTCTTGAACATTAGCAATCAGCAGTGTGTCTGCCATCCGCCAGGTAGCGCAACAAAACACCCAAACAGTTTTTAATTGTTTTTAAAATTAGCCAAGCTCTAAACCTATTAAGAAACCAAAGCAATATCATTGTGAAAATTTAATGCATCGCAATGTATATTTATTCCAAACAATAAATATTATTAGAGGCCAATAAATCTGTTTGATGTCTTAAAAAGATATGCGTCAAAACAGGTAAGTTTGAAACGCTCCTGGAGCTTTATGACTTGGAAAATGAAAAAAAGCCATCGTCCACCTCTTGGGCAACCATTTTAGCTCTAAATGTTACAAAAGATTTTATCATAGTTTAATTATTTCCTCAGTGGCATTTGAAGTACCATGACTCGAAGCATAAAAAAGTGCTACGTTTGATATAAAATATCTAAACAAAGAAATTTTACACAACATTAAATTTTTTTCTGCATATTACCAATTATAAGCACTACATCTGTATCTAATTTCATTGCCCTAGCGCGTGTCATTAAAAACATATTTGTGCTGAAAAATGTCAATTTTAGGGCAATATTTGGAGGGATGAAAAAAACAAAGTAGTGCAAATATCAAAAAAGTGTATCGTTACATTCTGCTCCGACATCATCTTAACAAAACTGCTATATTGGAACCGTGTTATTTTTAACGGATCGTTCATAAAACATGAACTAGCGGAGCAAGTGAGGGTCCGAGCCATCATATTCGCAACGCTACAAATGCGCATGAACATTAAAAACCAACACATACATAATATCAAATGAAAGAGAATTGCATTGCCTTTTGAATGATATCAATCCCACAAAACAGTATTCAAAAGGAGATGAGTAATGACCTGCCAAAAAGTACCTAAACTGCCACATTCAGTGGGACCGTGGCCTTAATATCATCAGCCAACAGGAACGCCGAAGATGTTTCAGTCACTTCGTGCTGGCACACGTGCTTCTCGTCGCGCACACGAATCATGCTCGTGGCGTCTTGCTCGCGACAGTAAAGGAAGATGTAGTATCTTCGCTTTTGTTTTCGTAAACAATCCGTCAGGCGACAACTCCCGAATCTTGCAGTGCCAATAAAGCTTGATAAAACAGTCAAAGTGAAGTTGAGCTGGTATAAGTCCATCGTGATGGTAAGACCTAAAACTGGGGATGCAAGAATAAACACAAGTTATGATGAAGGAACAGAACGAAAGGGACAGACAACATCTCCCCGCGCACTAGTCTCCTCCTCTCCCTCAGCTTCTGCCCGAATATAACTTAACATGTCTGTAACAAAGCTACCGAAGCGATGAAGATGGGACGTCTCAGAAGCACACAATCAAAATCGCGGTACAAGGTTCAAGACGTCTGTGTGTTGTCAGAGAAAAGACCAAGCAAAGACGAGAAAGACACGAGGACGGGCTTGCGCGCCGTGCTATCTGCTGGAACGCTCACTCGCGCACCATCACGAGACCAAGGCGACCGGTTATTCCGACTGGTAGACCAGTTGCGAGAGCCCGTCGCTGCGCCCCCCGTTGTCGAGGTACGGATCATCCATCTAGCCATGTCGCTCGACGGCGAGTCGAGAGCGTACTCCTCACGGCGACCGGGGGGCGAACCGATGGACCACCTCGGCGTACGCTACCACACCAACCCTCCAAGGTTTGTTCTCACTGACAAGTCAGGGTCCAAGATACAGAGGACATCGAAGAAACCTGGCGGCTGCAAGAACACCTTCCTCTCTGCCTTCGAGACACTGGTCATCCTCGCACTCAAACTCTACTTTGTTTGTCAGCTCATTCGGTTTGTGTACACGATTCCTCATATGAGTACCAGTCACTTGCCCATAAAGCTGTTCGAAATCAGCGAGCTCATCCTCAGCCTGGCCGCCGTGGCCGGCGCAGACTGTATCTGGTCGAGCAAGACGTCGGTGAGAAGGTTGCTCCATGGACGATTCTTCCAGGGCTCCCACTGGCGGAGCACGGGAGCCTTTGGTGGCACCTGGTGGCCACTCTGTCTTTTTGGACACGCCATCTTTGGGGTGTCCTTGTTCTTCGCTGCCAACGTCTGCCCCTGGACACCGGAGGGAATCGCCCGGTGCAGTCTCTGGGAAACCTTCAGCAAGTTCTTCTTTGTGAACCTGCTGGCGCTCGCGCAGACCTACATGGCCATCACCATCTACACCGTGCTCTGCCTGAATGTCAAGAGGAAGATGGCTGAAGTCGTGCAAGAGATCAAGGGTACCAGGAACGTCCTTTCGTACGAGGGTCTTCGCAGGTTGCACCACAAGTGGGAACAGTGCGCCTCGTACGTCGAGGAACTGAGCCTGACCTTTCTGGGCTTCGTGTGCATCTGGTACTGCTACCTGTTCGTTAGGGCTGTCTACGTCATTAGTACCATCTGCAAAGTCATCGATCTTACAGGGGCTACGGTGTTCAACAGGCAGCAGATGTGTGTCCCGATCTTCGAGCTGACCTTTCTGATCATACTCTGCGTCGTCTCCGAGAAGGTGAAGTCTACCATGCTCGAGTCAGTGGATCCGTTGAAAGAGCTGACGATGTCGAGGGCTAGTGAAGAAGTTCAACTTCACGCAGAGGTACAGAGGTTTTTATACCGAATTGAAAAGTACTCTGACATGACGCTCTGGAAGTTTCCCATGTGGACTGAAAACGCCATGAAGGTTTTCTTGGTCGTTATAGTGGGCCTCATTATGTTCCAGGATAGAAGGGTGCGAAGCAAGTTGTGCTAGGCTCCTGGTGGAGGAGACGTTGCTTAAAATTTAATTACTATAGGCTGAAGAGCAGTAAAATTGTGCTACCCTGGAACTCGATCTTAGCCTCAGTATTGCCGGTTCGGCATTTGTCAACTACTGCCCGTTGAATGCAGGCAGCGTCAGTCACTATTCAATGTTCAGAAACATCGTGTGATCAAAGGATCAAGAACTGTGTGTCATCAGAAACATTGTATGAAGTGAGACATCGTTCACTCGATGACATTGGAACCACTAAATACGTTACGATACTTTAGCTATGTATTAATAAAACAATGAATTCAAGTTTCCTGCGTGACACGTGTGGTAGCACCTCCCTCCTGCACATGTTGGAAAAGAGCATGACAGAGGGTTGTTAATTTGTAATGAAGGACAACATAAGGGCGCGGGGCACAATTCCTTTTTGAAAGTGGGGTCCGGAAGCAGATTTTTAGCCCTGAAGGGAGACAGAGAAAGAAAAAGTATCAAACATTTACAACTTCACGGTCCAATGTTCATTCCACGACCGGCTTTATTAGGGGCGACCAGCTCACTCCGCGTTTCCCTATGGGAGCGCTCGGGCCAAGAAATATCACGTTAACGGCTTGGAGGGACCGAGTGCTCCTCCAGGCTCCGCCCTAGCTCAGCACCAAAAGCGCGGCGGCCACTATAGATGGCAATGGGAGCGTGTGGAAATTACGTCGGTTTCAGATGACTTTTGTCGCATTTAATAGGCAGGCGCTAATGCTAGCACATAGTGTGTATAGGAAGTATTCACTGGCGGCCATAGCTGTGAGCGCGACTGCTGAGCGCGTGCTGTTGGCTAGCTTCCAGGGTTCTTTTGCAACGTGCATTGCACACCGTCAAAAGGGCCGGTCTTAGCAGCCTATTATTCGGGGCTCGTTCTGAGCATGCGCTCTAGACAGCACCCACAAATATGGCGCCCAGTGAGTACTCCTTATAGAATAGGTACACTGTAGAATAGGTTAAAATGAGTCACTATTTTAGAGTTTTCTCGAGCAGAGTAGGGTGTACGAGTGTACAGGATGGTGCATCCAGTCCGCCTGCTGGAGCCCACTTTCGTGACCGGAATAAAAAATCGAGTTAAATGCTCCGCAGGTGGGCCGTGACGCTCTTGGTGAATGTTCGAAGTGAGACACTGTCGATTGGTGGTGAACTGGTGACTGGAAAGGGGGGGGGGGGGGGGGGGTGCATCCAAAGTTTTGTTGCACGAAGTAGGCAGGAGTTCTAGTGACGAAGCGTATGGGTTAAGAGGCGCTGCCGTCCACCATTGCGAGTACGCCGCAGTGAGGAGGCAAAAGGAAGCGAGGAGTCCGGTAGCAGAAAAGTGACTAGGAGCCGCGTGGTCGCTACTTGGCGTCGATGTTAAAGCGGGTCCCATGCCGACTGAACGGAGGAGGTGCAGTGCTCGATAGGATGGCGTTCGGGGGCCAAGTTGGCGCCTCATAATAAAATAGGAAGCGCGACGTTGCACCAACTCGAGGGAGGCAACAAGTTGCCGGGTTGCCGAATCCCACACCGAGCAGCAAAACTCCAGGATGGGCAAAACCAGTCTAGCTGTGAACAGCAATTTGGGCACATCGGGACTGGATCTTCTTGTGGACCGAATGACGAAGCCAAGGAGTCACCTTTCCCCGGACACGGCGTTTTGGACATAGCGTTGGAAATCAAAATGCTGGTCGATGATGACACCTAGGAGGTGGATATGCGTTGTTCTTGGAATCTCCACTCGGTTCAGGAGAGGTGTTGGAGGGATCGAAGGTTGGCTCGACGCAGTGATGTTCATGGTAGCGCATTCGGTTTAAGTTTAGGGGAAGTTTGTTATCTTTTGATCAGAGAAGAATGCGATCTAGATTAGCTTGTAGCTCTTTACCGAACGTACAATCGCATTAACGATGAGAAACGTCCTTAAAATACAGCCGATTATCCTCAAAACGTCGCCAGTCGTGGAGCGGACACACATAGATACACACGCGAAAGCGTCTGCTAGTAAGCTACCGCTCCAGAAAACGCAGCGGCGGTTCAGCGAACCAGAGAGTACTAAATAAGCAAAAGCAAATGCGGCGTGCTCGGGCTGCCTCGGGTAACCTGGTCGCCCCTATAAAGCCGGTCGTGGTTCATCATCCACAGCTCAGCACGCCCCCTGTGCGTCGGTTTGGGAAGCTAGCGAAGTACGCGCAATTTGCACAAATACTGCTAATGGTATGCTGGTCAGGAACCCTTTATTGGAATTATCCATAGTCAAAGAAACAAAAATATCGTTATTCAATATTTGTGACATGAAAGGAGGACAATAAGAGACTTCCATAGGTATATTTTATTACATTAAATGTTTTACTATAGAATGTCACTAGTCCCTAGAATGCTAGAAGGCGAGTCCTCCGTAGCGCGTGCAGATACATTGAACTTTGAATATGGGTCAGTTAGCAGTTCCTTGTGACCTGAAAACAAAACGAAAAATTACACGTTAGCAAAAACGTCAGCGGCGGACTCTGATGCAACGTCGTAACAAGAGGCATATACCTAAAGCCCCAAATACAACCCACCATTTCATGTTTCTTACATCAACCTATAACCATCAGGGTTGTGCAAAAATCAGATTAGACGTTATATGTTTAGAGAGCGTGACATATAGCATGGCGACGAAGCAGTTTCGCTGTCGATGAGATAATTAGACGCCTTGACGCTGCACCACGCAATAATGAGCAATAAAGCCTCTTAATATAAAAAAAATCACGCTTCGCGTTTCTAATGCCCGAGTCCCGCTAGAGTTACAAACAGAAACAATCAACACCAGCGAGCCTCAATCAAGCACGTGCAACGTGCTCCTGAAGATACCTTTGGCAGGCTTTTCAGTCAATAGGTGCTCGTGATGTTAGCACGAGTGATTGGGTGTTCCACGCAGCGCGCGGAACAGCAATCCCTGCATCATCCTTGATGATTGGGTCAATTAGCACCCAAACATCAACAAGAATGCAGAGACTGGGGTTCCACGGGCCACACGCGCACGCCTTCCCCGTATAAAAGATTCGAAGTAAATAACCAAATTAAAGCGTTGATGAACGTGTGTGCAAGATGGAACTTGTTTTAGGCATTTGCTTTGAAAAAGTTATCTACTGCTGAGGCCAGTTCGTGCGGTGCGTGGAACACCAATCCCTGCATTCTCCTTGCTGCTTGGGTAATTTATCAAGAGGTCTATAGGGAGTATTCGCTGGACGCCATATTTGTGAGTGCTGTTTAGAGCGCATGCTCAGAACGAACTCACATCAATAGGCTGCAAAGACCGGCAATCTTGATGGTGCGGAATGCACGTTGCAAAAGAACTGTGGAAGCTCGCCATCAGCACGCGCTCAGCAGTCGCTCACACAGCTATGGCCGCCAGTGAATACTCCCTATAGGTCTGTACAACCAGCCAGTTTGACTACGCCACCGCCCCGCAATACACCGAGGGAACTTTAGGCTTTCTGCACTCGCCCGAAGCTCGCAGGAACTCTGCGCAGGCAGATTACGCGACGGCACGAGCCGTCTCGGGCACTGCTACTTGCCTCCATGGAACTAAAGTTATAGCGGCTTCACGCATGCGCCGTACGCTTGGTGAGATAGGTCTCTTCGTAGTGGCTCTCAAGCGAGAAGCTCGTGCCGGGCGCGCACGTACGCTATATTTTCAGTGACGCCACCTCGCGAGCGCCCTCCTGTGACGGAGCTGATAGGACGCGAGCAGACGACGCGCCATGTGAAAGCACGGAGTGGCTACGTTAATTCGCATCTATGCCGATTAAAACCGGTTTATTTATTAAAGAAACATATACGACGTTTTTGGGTATTATTTTTCCAATGAATAACAGCGCCTCAGAGTTGCTTTTTATATTTAAAAAAAAAAAATCTACAATGTCCAGAAACAGGCCTGGAACTTCACATTACAGCTTGAGCAGCGTGCGTCAGAGCCATTTGCAGCTTCTCTGATTATTGTTTTTTTCGTATCTGTGAAGGCTTCTGTACAACAAGGTTTTGCATGCACCAGAGTAAATGACGTTTGGTCTTCTTAGCTGCACGAGCGTGCACAGTTGTGTTGCAAAGCGTCGCACACGTATTTTAGCTATATTGAGCTCGCCGATACCGGCGCTTCGATCCAAGTGTTAAGATTTGACAGTTGCTTACGAGCAAATGCTCGACAGCGATTGACGCTTAGCTTGTCCCGCATCGAATACGAAGTTTGTCACAATTCGACTTCTGCTCGAAAGAAAATCAGAGATTTTTATAAATTCTTAAATTGTCCGACATGGCTCGGCAAATTCGGGCGGTTGATCAGTTTGTTTGATTCAATGTTTACTATGAATTTTTTTACAAATTTCAAATCGCTCGTTGAGAAGCGCATCACGCATTATACGCATTTGGGTCCGAAGACTAAACATACAAACGGTAGTAATTCACAGCAGGTGTTTACCTCATTTTTGGGACGCTAAAGTGTCCTTGACTTACTAGATTTAAGACTTCAATCCCGAGGGGGTCTCGCACGTTTCGTGTCGACTGGATCAACAAGCAGAGATTTACTTCAAACGACTCCGGAACCCAGCACAGCATCTTCCGGCCAGTTATTTTGAAGAAATGCTTGTTTACTGATTTACAAAATTAAAAAAAAAAAGAATCAACTTGGAACTAATGAGAGACCAGCACTCGCAGAACACATTAGAATCCAGCAGGGTACACGAAGCTGCATTCACGAAAGTGTTTACTACACACGCGAGAGGCTCACGAATTTCGCTATCCTGTTTTCGATTTGATGAGACATTCCTCTTTCAGTTTTATTTTGTCTGAACCATATTAAAGAATACACATTGTTCGCCGTGGTAGATGTTGTAGTGGGGTAAAGCGCTGGATATTCTATTTTGATTACCCAACTTTTTGTACTGGGGCAGAGAACAGCACACTATAGTGTCAGGGCTTCGACACCTCAGTTATAGCACGACTACGCGTGCCAC